TGCTATCAGAGGCTTGCACATTGGGACTATTCACATCCATTGTCACTGGCAGATATGGGTACAAAGCTGGTATCTATACCAAGTCCACAGCTCAATACTTTTGCAATAGGAAACTTGAAGTCCTCCCCTCTGTATGACAAGATCTTCAAAAAGTTCATGGAAACACATATAATGAAAAAACTATGCAGTATTTCCAGATATTTTTGTGCCAAAATAAACTTATTTCTAAGTTCCATTTCCTCAGACTTTTTGAAGTATTCTTGTGTTTAGGGCACTCTTTAGCCAGCCTTAACTAAGCAGGATCCCTGGTGGAGTGCATCTTCTTCTCTCTTTAGCATATATTATGGATCTGGACTCCCGTTGACCATTCAGTATTCATCCATGCAGGTGCTATCTGGTTTTACATCTTCTGTATGTTCCATAATTTACCACCTTGGTCACTGTTGACCCAGGTAAACATTATTGTTGACCAACCAAAATTATCTAGTAGTCCAAAGTGTGGTTGATATAGTACTTCATGTTTATCTTTCAGATGTACTCAGAAGTAAAGGGCCAAATTATAAGACTCAAAGGAAGTCTTTTAACATTTACTTATGTGGAAGAACCTAGAGAAAAGTAGAACCTTGAATTTCAACACAGATCTAGCTGTATTAAAAGAGAACCCTAGGGGCTGGTGCCATGGCTCACTTGGTTAATCCTCCACCTGTGGTGCTGGCATCCCATATGGGCACCGGTTCTAGTCCTGGCTGCTCCTCTTCCAGCCCAGCTCTCTGCTGTGGCCCAGGAAGGCAGTGGAGGATGGCCCAAGTGCTTGGGCCCTGCACCCGCATGGGAGACTGGGAGGAAGCACCTGGCTCCTGGCTTCGGATTGGCTCAGCTCCGGCTGTAGCAGCCATTTGGGGAGTGAACCAATGGAAGGAAGACCTCTCTCTCTCTCTCTCTCTCTCTCTAACTCTACCTGTCAAATAAAAAAAAAAAAAAAAAGAGAGAGAGAGAGAGAGAGAACCCTGACCAGAGAGTGCTGACAGTGAGGAAATGTAGGCAAGACCAGAAAGGGCACATAACATTGAGAAGTTAGCCACATGGTATTGAACTGAGAAGAGGTGCTTGAGCTACTTCATTCTAAAAGGCTACAGCAGCCTTGGGACTGGGTTATTAAGTAGAATCATTTAGCAACAGGCTCTAGAAGCATAACAAACTAAAAATAATTTATGAACATCTATCTTTAGGCTTGAAATTCCATTATTACTATTTCATTTTTTCCCAGATTTTTGAAGATGAATAAGCTAAATTTTGAACATGGGAAGTATCACTGAACTTTTCAAATGACTCATTTTAGAAAGTTACTACCAGGCCGGCGCTGCGGCTCACTAGGCTAATCCTCCGCCTAGTGGCGCCGGCACACCAGGTTCTAGTCCCAGTCGGGGCGCCGGATTCTGTCCCGGTTGCCCCTCTTCCAGGCCAGCTCTCTGCTGTGGCCCAGGAGTGCAGTGAAGGATGGCCCACGTGCTTGGGCCCTGCACCCCATGGGAGACCAGGAGAAGCACCTGGCTCCTGGCTTTGGATCAGCGTGGTGCGCCGGCCGCAGCGCGCTGGCCGCGGCGGCCATTGGAGGGTGAACAAATGGCAAAGGAAGACCTTCCTCTCTCTCTCTCTCTCTCACTGTCCACTCTGCCTGTCCAAAAAAAAAAAAAAAAAAAAGTTACTACCGACAATCTAGCACTGTGGCCTCTGCCTGAAGCCAGCATTGCCAGCATCCCATATGGGCACCAGTTCGTGTCCTAGTTGTTCCTTTTTTGATGCAGCTCTCTGCTATGGTTTGGGAAAGCAGCAGAAGATAGTCCAAGTGCTTGGGCCCCTGCACCTATGTGGGACACCTGGAAGAAGCTCCTGGCTTTGGATCAGCCCTGCTCCCGCCATTGCAGCCACTTGTGTAGTGAACCAGTGGATGGAAGACCTTTCTTTCTGTCTCTCCCTCTGTCTGTATCTCTGCCTCTCAAGTCAATAAATAAATCTTTTTAAAAGGCAGCATCAGCGAGAGAGAGAGAGCGCGAGCGAGCTTCTGTCCTCTGGTTCACTCTGCAAATGGCCACAATGGCCACAGCTGTGCCAGTCCAAAGCCAGGAGCTTCTTCTGGGTCCCCTGCACAGGTGCAGGGGCCCAAGGACTTGGGCCATCTTCTACTGCTTTCTCAGACCACAGCAGAGAGCTGGATCAAAAGAGGAGCAACCAGGTCTCAAACCAGTGCCCATATTGGGATGCTGGCACTGCAGGGACCACAGAACCAGCTCTAAAAAAATTTTAAAAAGTTACTACACACAGGTGGGCACTGTGGCATAGAAGGCTATGACTCTGCCTGCAGTGCCCGCCTTCCATATGGGTACTGGCTGATTTGAGTCCTGGCTGCTCCACTTCTGATGTAGCTTTGTGCTGATGTGCCTGGGAAAGCAGCAGAGGATGGTTCAAATAACTGGGCCCTTGCACTCATGTGGGAGACCTGGAAGAAGCTCCTGGCTCCTGACTCTTGGCTTTGGCCTGGTCTAGCCCTAGTCATTGTGGCCACTTGGGGAGTGAACCAGTGAATGGAAGATCTCTTTTTCTCACCGCTCCTTCTCTCTATATATGCTTTTCAAATAAATAAAAATAAATCTCAAAAAAAAAGTTACTACATAAGGTATTATTACTAGAGCCTGGAACAAGCCAGCATCCTGCGAACCTCCGGCTAGTTCTAGTGTGTATGTGTGTTTTCTTGGAGGAAAACTTTGCAATTCTCTGCCCAGTTCTATGGTCTTGCTACTTTCCCATGGAATAATGTAAAGCATTTTGCTTTCTACTGATTTTAAGTCGCACTTCTCCTTTCAGTTTTTCTGAGACTCTTCTGATCTCAGTAGAACTTCCTGCTTCATCTCCTTCCCTTCAGTATGTTACATACTTGGCTGATTTTGACTAGTTTATAATTTTATTATAATGATTCTTGATAATATAATACCAGCTAGAATTAATAACATGTCCAGGGGGCAGGCGCCGTGGCTCACTTGGTTAATCCTCCGCCTCTGGCACCAGTCCCATATGGGTGCCAGGTTCTAGTCCTGGTTGCTCCTCTTCCACTCTAGCTCTCTACTGTGGCCCAGGAAGGCAGAGGAAGATGACCCAAGTGCTTGGGCCCTGCACCCGCATGGGAGACCAGGAAGAAGCACCTGGCTCCTGGCTTCGGATTGGCATAGCTCCGGCCGTAGCAGCCATTTGGGGGGTGAACCAACGGAAGGAAGACCTTTCTCGCTGTCTCTCTCCCTCACTAACTGCCAAATAAAAATAAATAAAAATAAATATTTATTTTAAAAAATGTCCAAGAACTAAAAGTATTCCAACTTAATAATTCATGTATTTGGCTGCCTGAAAAAAATGCTGTAATATCGATAACATTTTCAATTTTTTCTTCTGTTGGGATTGACATAGTTGTGTGAATCACAGAATAAAAATACACATTTATTTAAATAATCAAAGAAAAATTTTAAAAGCTACTTAGTGTTGTGTATATTTTAGAAAGTTTTTATACTATTTTTTCTATATATTGCCAAGGGTAGTATAATACAGGGGGGAAATCCCTACATTTTAAATAAACATAAATTCACTGTTACACATTTTTGTTCTCATGCAAAATCTATTTTCCATAATATTTAGTTTGTTCTAATAAGTGTGTATGTTCAAGAGTTAGCATACTTTTCATTCTTCTAAATAGCATACTACATTTGTTGTTAAAAATTTATTGTTGGTTTTGCATAAGAAAAATCATACTAAGAAAACATGTTGAAACCTATGTTTTAAAGCAAACTCAAAATGTGTTTTGATTCTTGATTTTCAGTTGGGGGTGAGAAAATCCAAATTTAATAAGAAAATCACTTGTGAAATTTAGTGCAGCGTGCATGCCTGGAGAAATGCATGCTATAGCTTTAAGATAAGGTAGTCTGATGATTCATTGCACGAAACAAGATCGATTTGGAACAGGCGCCTACTGTTAGCTTTTTTTGAAGATGGATTCTCACGCCGAAAATAACATAACATATTCTAGATAACAGCAGTTTTTCCCCCTGAAATCCACCAAAACTGAAGAAAAATCCAAGTGACTGTTCTTAGCAGCTGTGTGGCCTGGAGTTCACTGGGGAAGCTGGCTTCCTGCAGTCCCCTATTCATCACCTGCTTCAAAGACAGCCTAGCTGGCTATAGTTTGCAGGCCAGGTAGGGTGCCATTGTGCACAGTCTGGGAGGATTAGTATCAAAGCTGCGGCAACCAGGCCCTTGGTCTCGGGCTGCCATTCAGTCTAGCAGGGAGAGGCTAAGACTGGCCAAGGTCACAGTCTCCAGTGTGGAGTGGACTGGGAAAGGATCCTGAGAATAGAATGCTTTTTATGAAATCATGGCGCAAGCTTGCAGCACAGCAGGTGCCCTTCTGGAAGACATAACATCTGTTTATGTTGGTATACCGTAGCTGACAACGAGATAATAGAGCTTTGAAATTTATCATTTTATTTTTAAAAAGACAACTGTATATACAATAATCCAGATGCGTATTTAGCTCAAATCTTTTATTTGAAAATCATAAAGAAAACTGACCGATTTAATTGCTGCTTTTTACGTGTATATATTTAAGCAGAAAGCAAAGCGTACTGACTGTTAACCATTTACAACCATTGCTGATCAGTGATACTCGAATTCTTGGGGAGGAAATACCTAGCCTTCCACATATATTTTTTTTCAAGTTCAGACATTTGTGTCAACAGATTGCACAAGGATTTATTGAATATGCCCAACTGTCTTGAATATTAGGAGATTTGGATAAAATCTCCCTTCCACCAAATGAGAATACTTCAAGGGTGAGGTAACAATGACGCAAAAATAAAATTTTCAACTTGGACAAATTAGAGAAAAATTAAGCTGTACATGAGTTGTCATGACGACAAGGATGTTCTGTTGATGAACTGTCCTCCTCATTGTCCAATCAGATAGTAGAGCTGAAGCTGGAGCATGAACAGGAGAAGACGCACCTATTACAGCAGCATAACGCAGAGAGGGGTAGCCTAGTCCGAGACCATGAACGGGAAATTGAAAACCTGGAAAAACAGCTTCGCGCTGCCAATATGGAGCACGAAAATCAAATTCAAGAGTTCAAGAAACGAGATGCACAGGTAATTATCAATAATATTTGATAAAATGGGGTTCTATCTTTAAAAAGTCATCAGCGTTTAATGTCTTCTTCTTATTCTTATTGATGCACGCTGTTTGATCATTTGCAAAACTGACATAAAAATGTGATTTTTTTTGTTTTCCCCACCCCCCACCCCCCGTTTTGGGGATGAATAAGGCTTTAACTACAGAAACCACAGGTAGCCAGATTAAAAATCCCATGGCGCGCTATAACTTGGCCCCTTTTTTATAATCTTGTCTCAGTTCCTTTCATGATGGATTTTTTTTAAGGTATCTACCCCTTACCCCTCCCCTCAGCCTCAGAAAATCCCTATGAAATATATCAGCCTGTCTCCTTTCTTTTTGTTTTAATCTCTGTAGGTAATCAAGCAGCTGTTTTAATATTTGCTTTTCCTTCCTAGTGTTGCTGTTTATCATTAGACCATCTATTTTATTAGATCACTCAGTTGGTAATTGATAACAATGAGACCAGAGAAGGACTATTTCCCATCAGCTCTGTGCTTTCTCCTGCATGCACATACACATGCCTCCTAGCCTCCATCTCTGTAGTCCCTGTTGGAAGCCATTTGGCAGAATAACCCCCAGCTGTGGTAGCATTTGACTCTTCAAACTTATGGATGAAATGTGCACTGTCAGCATGGAAAATTATCTTTATAAAATTCAGATGAAAAAAATCTTATTGGGTATGTATCTTTGTGGTACAATACATTCTTTAGGGTATATATAATCAAGGGCCTTTGGTGTATCCTCTTGAGATTGCTGTGAAATTTTATTAAAGAAAAATTTAAGAGCAATTGATAATAATGACAAGATAATTTTCTTTTCTAATGGAACCATATCATATACTAGGTCTGCATACCTCGTTTCTCATTGAAGTCTGGCCATATTAACCACACCACATAAGCTTCTTTTCTTAGTTATCCTTCCTCCAAATATAATATCATTTTCAAAAACAAAATAAATCATCTGTATTTCTCTATGTTTAGATAATTTTACAATTATCTAAACATAAAAATGCTACTACTTAAATAAGATGTGGATTTTTTGAGTGGAGAGCGGGAGGCGGTCAGGCAGAGAACAGGAGTTGTTGGTTATTTTTCATTTGACCTTGAGTTGTCTTTTATTTTCAGAAAATTACTGGTACAGTAGGAATATGCTCCGAGCAGGTGTTTTTTTTTTTTTTTTGGTCAATAATTTATAGGAAAATATTTTCAATTTCTTTTATGGTGGGTTGCTCACTGAAAAGGTAGACATTGTAGTAACCATGGCACCAGAACAGTCAGGTGGTTCCAGTAAAATCAATATGTATTATACTTTTGCCATCAACCTCATTAGAGCCTTTACAAAATATATATGCTCATCTTTTGATTGTTAGCCATAAAATTTTTTAGGAACATTTACAAACTTATAATCTCCTTCAAACATGATGTGAAACCCTACCATTGTCTTCCTATGGTAAGAGATACAGGGTCTGAGTCAGTATAGGATCTGTTTGCAAAGTAGAATTGAATAATGGATACAATAAAATACATTAATTTACATAATTTCCTATGATTTGGGGACTGTTGTAGACAGCTGACACAAGTAGAGGCCAAATTTAGAGGAAATCTTTGTGCTTTTGCATATGTCGAATCTGCCATTTAGGGTGCGGTTCATCCAATCATAACAAAAGGAAAATTTTATAACTATCCCATTTAATTAAGCCACAGAGAGAGTATAATGAGGTCACTAATTGAATTTCTTCTTATTGAAATATTGCATATGAGGCTATATGACTTCTTCAAATGCTGTAGTTTAGGATATTGAGGTGTATTTCTCATATTTTGTGTCTTTCTTGGAGCGTTTGAATAATTGGAATTGCTGTCATGGGAATGCCAGTAAGCAATGGAAACAGGCTCAATGCATCTTGGTCATAACAAATTTTGCATGTATTGTACTTAGTTGTTTTTAGAGAATATAGTTTTTTAAAACTTACATCGTTCATTTCTATAAAAAATCTTAGGTGTGTCAAATGCTAATAATTTGTATTTATCTGTGGTTACTCATTGTGGATGTTAATTCCAAAACTCCTTCAGGTAAGCCTTAAAATTTTAAGTTATTTATATTCATAATTGTGTTCTAAACAACCTAGTATATAATATCTTTTAGGTGCTGGATTGTATTCACGAATTTCAAAAAAAAAAGTAGGCATGCTTTTCAAAATAGATCTTGTTATCACATCAGTGTGTTGTAGATTGGTGCAGAACAAACTCATGTATCTTAAATATTAGATTGTGTAATTTTTGATTTGAGTTTCAGAGATTTGGTTTTCAGTTACTCTTTGGCTGCTTTGGTCAGCAGTGGAGGCCATTTTGTAAAAAGGACTATTTGAAATACTAAACCAAAAGAGGGCCAGTGCAAGATCGTTTTTGGGTAGCATGGCTTTGTTTGCTGCTTTTCTTCCATCGGATGCTTAAATGACAGTGTTCTAAAAATCTGTTTTTGGCTCCTAAATATATTAAACAGTGTATGCTAATAAGAAAGTAATTATTATAGTTACCTGTGTTAAGGTGAATCGTACTAACTAGGAACTCCGTTTGGTCAAAATGTTTTATAATTATTACAGCCTAGTTATTCTATTGATTTCTATTTTATAGAAAAATGATGATATATAACTAAGGGCAATTAATCATTTTCCTCATTTTATTTGGTATAGTTGACTCGTTATTCTATGTATTATATCTTTTCATAATACTTTGATTCAGTGGCAGGATATATTGTGCTGTGATACTTACGTGTGGAAATGCATATTACATTTGAAAAATGTAATATGAAAAATTTTCAGTCTAACCTAAGGTCACAGTGTTCAAGAAAAGCATCCAGTTCAATAGAAATCAAGGCATATGGAAATTTATAACCTCATGTTCAATATTTATCATTTACTAGTCCCTGTTATTGAAATTATTTTAGAGAATGATTTGACTGATTCAGTCAAATTTTCATTGTAATGAAAATTTATAAATACCATCCTAGGAAGTTTCTTCTAACATGATCATTGTATATGTAATTCTCATTTTGCTATTGAACAGTAAAAATATATTGAAAGAATTTCTGCAGTTTATCTTGTTGAATTGGAAGAAAAATAGAACCTAGTTTCCTTGGTCACGTAGTTGTGTTTTAGGACCTTGCACCATTTAGGAATTGCTTGGTCTTTTACGTTTTTTGCCTGAGTGAGTGATGTGTTATGAATACTGTAGAAACCATTAGAGACAGCCTTGGTGATCCACCCCAGAGATAGTGTCACCATCTTAGGACAGCTATGTGATCTGTTGCTGTATAGACAAAGGAGTCAGGGTAACCATCAGCCACCATGACCCACCATCAGCATCATAAAAATAAAGTACTGTGTCCTCCTAGGCGGTATCAGTGATGTTTACAAATGTACTAAACTTGGCTTTTGTGTATCACACACCAGGTCTTGCAGAACATTGACATCTAGTTGTCTTTGATTCCCTAAAGTGAGAATCATGATTCTAATATGAGCAATTTTTACATATTAAATAGACAGATCTTCTCGATTTTGCCCTATTTATTCACATTAAGAAGTTGAGCTTATCTTTGATTTTAAAATTTAGAATTTCCAGTAGTTCTCTTCTTTCTCTCTTCTACTTAAAAGTTTTCCTATTTATAAAGACAATTTTAGTTTTTAAAATTATAACTCAATAACATTACCTTCCATGATGTTGAAAATATGGACAAAAAATAAATATAAACTTGATGCAGATGGTAGGTAATAGATGAAGCATTGCTTATCATCCATCAAAGATTATCCAAAATGGAAATTTAACAATATATATATAGCCTTCACTTTATTGTTATATCTTTGTACAAGGTCTTTGGGTTTTCTTTTGAAACCATTTGGTTTTTATTTCTTTATATGCCAAATAAGAAAGGATATAAAGTGTCATTTTGTAATAAATATGTGCCAAAAATAACTAAGCAATAAAATATATTAGCCACACTAGAAAATCTATACTTAAAACATTATGATAGTTACAGGCAAGTTGTAGCTCCAAGCTTGCTGGAAGCCACAGCAAAGAGGGCAACATGGTGAATTGGGTGATTCTGACTATGTCATGAAAAAAATCATAGCAGCTTTATTTTCCTAGTTCTCAGTCTGAGGGTAATTTATGATATGGGACTTAATATAAAGGACATTGACCAATATAACTGATAATATTCTGTGTATGTTAAAACATTTGGACATACAATCTGATGGCAAAACCTTAGACTCTTAAAGTGCTCTCAGAAGATGTAATTAGCAGATTTTATTTGAGTGGGCCAAAATTTCATTTGAATTTATTAAGGACATCATTATTCTCAAATAAAACGGCAAAGCTGCCCTGAGAAGATCCTGTTTTGCAGATTATGAGTCATAAGCATGTGTATGTTAAATAACAAGCCCACCAAGTTCAGTACTATCTTTTATCACTATGCCAGGAATTCTTACAAAAGTTCTGTGGGAAGTGAAACTCAGAAGTGTAGCTAAGATTATGAACAGTTGAGAAGTTAATGTCCTAATAATAATTTCCTAGTGCGTTGCTCTCTTGCTTATATTGGATTCTCTTCTCCTTTGAATTTATACTATGATAAACTCTAATAAGAAATGAAGCCTAGGAGTAAAAGATACTTGTTCCTGTTCTGCCTTCATAACCAAAATAGTATTTCATCATCATTAACCTTTGTGTGCTTCTTTTTATTTATTTGGATCCCGTTGTACTGGTAACTGGGAAAAACCAAACTCTGTAGCTAATATCCCCGCCCCCCGCCCCCTCCAGCCTAGTGAGACATTGTTGCTAATGCTGTCCTGTGTCTCCTCCCCTCCTCTCCCTGGTGACACACACAGGCACAGCAGAGCAACTCCTATACTCCAGCTGTGTCTACACTGCATGTTGATCATTATCATTACCAGCCGGCGCTGCGGCTCACTTGGCTAATCCTC